TGGCATACAATGGCAGATAAATACGCAAGCTCATCTCTTACCACTACGGTAACTATAATTCGTATAATTTTCGTTAACGTAAGATTTTACGGTTCCGTTCTTACGGCTACGGAACTATAAATCCGGCTTTACTGACGCTCAAAGTCGAGAGAGCTTCGTAACTACATAATTACATGTGTTGGGTGAACAGATTATAATAGGCAGTTCCACAATGACAAGTTTATAGGACTGGAAATCAACTCCGATAGGGTATGCAATTATGTTTGCTCCAGGCCCCTTGTGCGTCTTTCACTCTAATTGTAATTGCGCGTTTTCATTTTTCTTGATGACATTATGAAATGCATGAAATCAGTAGAAGTCTAGAAGGCCTGATGATGGGTTATAAACCCGAAAGCGATAGCCTACAGGAAAAGATTTTAATAAAACCTAGCTTGTCTTTTATAATAATTAACCTCAGTAGAATACACTGCTCAATATACCACAGTGAAGTTACAATAATGAAATTGTTTTCAATAATCCACCCTATCGCAAGTCATATATGAGCAATTAAAGTGAAAAGCCTTCTCGAGTAGCATTATTAGAAAATATGAAACCATTTTGTATAAATATTTTTTTATGAAAAGGATGGAGCTTTTGTTAGGAAAATTCATAGCTGCGACTTTCATCGGAAACCAAAGGACTCTGGAAAGGATAAGCCAAAAATAAATAGAGACCTATACTGATAAAATGTTTGAGAGAATTAGAAGTTTAGATTTGACTGTTAAATCTGTGTAGGGGTGAGCACGGTACTTATTTGAAGAGAAGTTAACCGTTCGTGCTTTCATTTTTAAAGGGATATTTGCTTTCATTTCAATGTAGGTTGAACAAAGATTTATATCAATAATGTTAAATTGAAGATCCGTGTACTATTTTCGTGATTTGGAAATTTAATGTCGGAAATTCATGAGAGCAAGGCAATTTCTCTAGATCATTACAAATAAAACCAGGCATCCTCGTGATTTTCGGAGAAGTGACGTTATTTTACACTTCAGTTCCTATACACGTGTCTTGTAGGCTTTAAAGCCACCTCGATTCACAATAAAACCAATAATCTTGAATTCTCGGTTGCCGTTACTCTTAAAACGCATCGTGGGGAAACCTCTCGCTTTTTACCGTAAAATTTTTATGTAATTGCCCGACAAAATCTTGCCCGGTGGATATTATCAGAGCTGTTTTAATTATTTTACGTTACACGTCAACTGGGAAAAGTGTTACTTTTATTACTACTACTATTTTATAGTACTTTTAAAACGTCGTATCGCTTTAGTTTCCTTTCGGGAAGAGTAAGTAACCCAACCCAGTGCACTTTTTTGAGAAACTTTACTTCTGTTTCGTTTAAGTGCAACGTTAATTATAAGACATGCTTTTAAGGGCTTTTAAGCTTGCTGGGATTGATTTTTGCTTATCACTTTTACTATAGTAAGTAATAATTCCTTGAGGTATCACTGCTTTTAAAAAAATAATGCGACATGAGCTTTTTGTCCCTCCGTTTGGATCCGTTTTGAAGGAGTCTACTTGTTTTTAATTAGTAGGGGAGCTAACACGAAATCCACTGAACGAGAATGATCAAAATTGTAACCGATGGTGTTCCATTTTGCCCTATCAGAGTATGCTAAAATCGATCGTCTGCCGCCTCAGGTCATACGACTTAAGGCGCTGCGGGTACTTCTTGCGGTACCAATTCTGAAAGGTTGTTTTTCGAAAAAATAAGTTATACACCAAATGAAAACGTTGATAATAGCTCTTAAAAAAATATTTAAAAAAATCGCGCGCATTTGATAACTCCGTAAAAAAACAATTCTTAGTCGGTTTTTCACGAACTTTCTACGGATATAACTAGGTTACGGTTGGACGAGTGAAGCTGATTTTTTTTACAGACTGATGATATGATAAGTACTACTAATGACTTAACGGTGTTTCGTTTTTAAATTTTTTCTCTAATTACAAGATTATCTTATTATCTTAACATTATAAGATATCTTATAATTAGAGAAAAAATTTAAAAAAGAAACACTCTCATAGTCATTGGCTGTACCTATCATTAGTCTGTAGAAAAAATCAGCTTCATTCTTCCAACGGTAACCTAGTTATATCCGTAGAAAGTTCGTAAAAAACTGACTAAGAATTGTTTTTTTACGGAGTTATCAAATGCGCGCGATTTTTTAAAATATTTTTTAAGAGCTATTATCAACGTGTTCATTTGGTGTATAACTTATTTTCTCGAAAAACAATCTTTCAGAATTGGTAGCACAAGAAGTACCCGCAGCGCCTTAAGTCGTATGACCTGAGGCGGCAGACGATCGATTTTAGCATACTCTGATAGGGCAAAATGGAACTCCATCGGTTAAAATTTTGATCATTCTCGTTCAGTGGATTTCGTGCTAGCTCCCCTACTAAATCGATATTGGTCTGCGCTAATAATAAACTTGTCACAGTTACGGTAGTGACCCTATACACTCGAATAGGTCGTGGCGTCGATACGAGAAAGCCTCTTTGCTAACACAAAGGCTGATATTGTTTTGCAATAGCAGTTACGAGACATACACCGGACGAATGGGCTATTGGCGGAAGTTAGTCGGGATCTTCTTTACGAGCACGTTGGCAGAAGGCAAACTTTAAACGGTGTGTATTAAGAAAAAAAAATAGTTTGTGGGACTCGCAAGTTGGTTTGGATCAAGAAACACTTTTCCCTCATTTTGGAGGCTTAAAATTGAATTTTTTAAATACGGAAGTGACCGCCATTTGCTAATTTTGTTTTGGAATTCCTCTCTTATTAGTTGGAGGTATGTTAATTTTTTTGTGTTCGACGGGGAAGTTACATGTGATTTCTTATTGGAAGTTGACATCCACATTTAATTACAAGGTAATTTCATTCAATATTGGTACCGATTCCTTATCAGTTGACTTAAGGCTGGGGAATTTGATACAAATTACAGACATACCTAGTGTCAAGAACAACTGCCAAAGTGCTTAATATTATGCCACGAAATTGATACCACGTGTAGATGATGAACTGATGTATAGCATGATATATTTGCAATATGACTTTGATGAGTAATAAGTACGTAATAAATTGCCAAAATACTGCAATTTTTAAGGGAAAGAATTGCTTTCTTGTGAGGTGATATATTGCTTGCATCAACTTCAAGTTACCGTCATACCGTACATAAGGGTTGATATTAAAGATTTGCCAACATATAGGCATATAAGGCTTCAAATAAGAGAGCTGTCTTTAACACTAGTTTACCCTATCATTACTTATGAGAATAAAAATGTAATGTGTGCGTAAGACGGAAATTCCCTGCCGTTAACCAGCCAGGCCGCTATATTTTGTGGAATGTGCGAAAACAAGGTCAATCTCTCATTGGGATTAACCTGTAACAAACTGCTGGGAATGATGATAAGAAATTGGTTCAATTAGAATAATTTATTTAATTCTGGAATTAAACAAGTTCGTAATTAATGGACACTTCCTCTTCAAGGATTATACCAACGTCAATTTTCTTGTAAAGTGACTCCATTATCGAGTCGAGTTTTGTTCGTAATCATGGGAATTATTGTAAATTAGTAACTTATCATAATCGATCACTATTGAATTAGGGGATTTATTGGGGTTTATATTCAATTTCAACGTGAAGTAAATAAGTTTAGAGAAGTGATATTTATTTTTGTTGCGGTATCCCATTGGTTCATTTCTTTATTACATTCCTTGGCATATTCCCAATTTTCAAAAAAACTAGCTGCCGGTCAACCTCTTGGTAAGTTACGAAGATTTTTGTCTTACGAACTAACCACTGTAAAGTATCTCATACCTTTTCACTTTCACATCCCTGAGCTAGTTGGTCGTTACTGCGGCGAGTTTTGAGAAAAAGCAGTATCATCTTAACTCACGTCCCAACACGCACCTTTTCGGCAGATGAAAGCGCTGTTTAAATCATAAATAGTATTTCTTCTACAAAAATTCTACGCATCGATACTACTATGCGTAGAGACTTCGTGAAACTCCGCTGTTCTTGTTTGCTTCACTATCGTGCTTTAGTAGTTTTGTTTAAATTTTGATTCATGCCAGGCAACTGTCTCGTGTGATCGCTACGAACTTCGTAATTTTCAAGTGTAAAACAGAATCCGGCAGTACCAGATTCTTCCACTATTGCTTTTACCGCAGTTTGCAGTTTCGCATTAAATGACTCACTTTTCTGGAATATTGCTGTCGTCTACATAGCACAGAAGAGTCCTTCGACAGTCACGACAAAAAGATAGGCTCAGAACTCTTAATGTGTCTTTGTTACCTTACACCCGTCAACAATGAACATGACTGTTAAAAAGAGTCACGTCATTTCATCGAATTTAATTTGTACATCGTGGGATCATTTTAAAGTAGACTGCTATATTCGATTCTCTTGAAAAATTAACCTAAGCTTGTGTAGAACAATAATAAGAAGAAGTTGGCGTCGATTTCCAGGCATAAAAAATCTCTCTATAATTCTGATAAAAATTTCATGTAGTAAGGGCAAGTAAGTAAATAAAAGAAATGATTTTCAACAACAACGACACACTTTATTGTCACATGTCGCCATCAAGAAGATCTAAAAGTATTGTTCTTTCCTTTACATGGAACAGAATGGGCGTGGTATTTTATAATGATTAAAAAATCGTACTGTCAATACGAAGACGGTCTTTATACAATGCCTCAATTTCGTTTGAAAATTTGTGATAAGATTGAGCTCTTCAACTCCAGAAAAGAAAAGTTTCGAACTCTTGCGAACTTTGGCTAACAACAAACATAAAACTTGTGCGATGCTTCGCAAAAGACGTCCATAAAATAGTTGCGAAATCTCTGGAAAATTTTATGTACGGTGGTAGACTAAACAAGGACTGGAAATACAAATAAAACTCCCGTTTGTATAATCCCTGGCATAACAAAATCCCTTTTTAATAATCATATAAAGTTTGCTACTTACGTTATGCTTCCACAATACTTTATATGCCCAGGGATTGGCGTTGACTTTACATTCGAAGTAAACATCATCACCCTCTTCAATGTCGTCGGGGTTGAGATTTGATCCCAAGGTTAGATGCAGGATCGGTACATCTGAAACACAAAAGTTTTCAATCCGCTGCCACGGGCGATAATCTGAAGGTTTTAGATGAAGTGGTGCGTGGCTAGATTTTATATTAGGATTTGTTCCTATATCGCACGGTGTGTATCTCAAATAGTCTTTCACCGCTCGCGCTCACCCGAATAGATTTATAAATTTCACCTCTGGCAAATAAAAATTTATTACACAGAACATGAACGTGATTTCGCCGAAACAATAAGTGCTAAATATGACATGGCAAATTAATTACGAGTTAAAACTAAATTTCGTGAGTGTAAATGTAAATTAAAATCGTCATTTCTATTATACTTTATGGAAATAATTGTTTTGTACAACGATTTATTGATTACGTTTTCGATTCAAACTCACTCGGACATTTACTGTAATTGCTAAATTGCAATGTTATTACAGGTTCAAAACAACCATCGCTGACAAAGTACAAATCCATTATAATTATATAAACACCATAATATTACATTGAAAAATCTATTATCTTGTTGCTAGAGCTTCTTTTATAAGGTTGACATATACAGCGTCTTCGAATGTACTAAACAAGAGGGGAAATGTTTTTATTTTTACGAATGAATTCAAGTAGTGATGGTAACAAAACTGGTTTCAGATGATTTTTATAATAGCGATCTCCTTCAGCGTAAAAAATTCCCATCTGTAACGTTCTTTTTTCTTAACAATTTAGAATTCCAAAATCATATTCCGTTTAGTTACGATGAAGTTAGTTCTATGGTAGAGTTGGTATTACCTTAGTTCTTTAGTTTACCGCTAGAGATCATCCGAGTGTTTAATAGTCTTTCCTTCATTCTTTTGGCGCTAGAGCTCACCCAATGTACCTTTCTGCACTTCGTTCTGGCCCTTCCTTTTAGATTTTGTCTAGCGTACAAGTTATACTTGTTCCGTTAATAGAATATGTAGAATAATGAACGTAGATTAAGTAAATATATTAAGATAAACAGAGTTAAATATGTAATGTGTCCGGCTGAGTCAGCTAGTCGAGTCAGAGAGTTATTATGGGGCAAACCAGTTGTTGGGATAACCATGCCACCATTGCATCCCTTTCGATGCAACAGAATGGGTGAATATTAACCATTTCACTTATCGGGTGGAAGATTCAAACATGTTCCTGAAAGGGGTGAAAGAAGAGGCATACAGTACCACTGATAGGGTTCCCTTCTCAGGATACACCACTAGAACCGGTATGGTTGAACCTAGTTTATATTTCATAGAGAAAGATCCTATACTTAATAAGATTCGTAATCTTCTAGATTTGGTGAGTTGGACTAACATTAGTAAGACCTGGGATGATGGTACGACGGTCGAAAGCAACTGCAAAGAGATGATTATGATGTTACTGAGAACATTCACATTGATTGATCTTAAAAAGTTAGCACCTTTCGCTAGGATGAGGAAGTCAGGTACTATACAACACCATATCCGAGCGCCTAACTACAACGAATACAGTTGTTCCAAACAATCTGGGAAATACCTATACACGAGTTATAGGAGAATCTGACACACATATCCGCTTGAGGAACTCAAAACAGCATTTCACAGTGAACTATTTACACATCCTATATTATTCAACTTGGTTTATCTTCCATGAATTAGAATGTTCCAGCTCTATTACAGTGCCTCAGGTTTTGTGGGCTGTAACGACCGAATGTGCACCTTGTAATGTTCCGATCCTCGTAGAACCTTTGGTATTTGACCTCAAAAATTTCATTGTAACTGTTAAACATAGACGTCCAATTTTTTACGTTATTCATTAGATTTTTATTTGCACAGGTGACATCTTTCTCTATTTTTTCCCTTTCTTCTTTAATTTTATAATTTTATTTATCCAATTCTTTTCCTTTTAGTTCCATATTTTGTGTCTACTTCTTCCTTACAGTGTTTGGAGGTATGGCCAAAACCTTGGCACTTATAGCATCTTACTATTGAAACGAACGAAGGACCGTTGTCACATTACTCGGTTTCGCCTCGCACAATAAAACACACAATCGAATGTGTCGCACGACTTCGGCCAGCTCGCCTCACGCGGCAATCACATTTTTAAAAACACCATCGTTCTAGCCCTCTGAGTTTCCGACTAAACTCCAAAAAGGACGAAGAGGGTGCGAAAAATCGCCGATACAACTCGGCTCTAGTAAATATTTTTAACGGCGATTATTCTACGATTTCAAATTTCGTCCGATTTTCATTCGAAAATCCCCCCTCTCCTTCGTTTAGGAGGGCGGATGGTACGCCGTAAGTTGGGGAACGTGTTGGGCCGAATTTTCGAATATCAACAAGTTTTTTTTCTAATTCGTCCCGTTTTCGCACCGCAAAGGGTAAAATGGGAAAGACGTCGAAAAAACACACTTTGCACCCTCCTCACCCCAAACAAATTATGCCGGGGTAACGGACCCCATATGCTATTCTCGGGACCGTTCAGGGTGTAGATTAAGAGCGGGGTTTACTTTTCGAACAATTGCGCCAAGTGCACTTTTGGCACCCTCGCTGGCTCTTATGGCAGCCGAAAAATAGTACTTATTTACTATCAAAATTTATTTTATATATCACAGAAGCCATAAATCCATTGTAAAGTTTCTGACAATTCTGATTTTAATTTAGAGAGCTCAAAAATAGCAAGCTTAGGTTCTGCCGTCGCGATCGTTTCCATAGAAACAGAATTGTCATATGTGCTCAACGTCATTTTATATCGTGCATTTGAAATAAGAGATGTGAGATGACATTAGAATGCACAATCATTTGTTTCACTTTATCTACCCTTACGGTTAAAGTTATCACTTCATCTATCCTTACGGTTAACCAACGGCTTAGCCTGCTCATCCAAACCTATTAAAATGCCAATTTAACATATGCTATCACATAAAGAATTGAACATAAGAGATTTGTATGTTTCGAGTTAAAATTTATGCACTCTATGTGAAAATAATATTTAGTATATCATTACCTAATTGAGTGAAATAAGATTTGTGTTAATTACATTTCGTCAAAAACGAATTTTTATGATTTAAAGTTAGAAATGTAGAATAAATAAATTGAAATAAAATATTTCTCACATTTGTATAAAATAGTACAACACTTAATATATAAGTACAGTTTCTAAAATGATTCCTTGTCAACTCAAAATCGCAAGAGTAATGCTAAAAGCAATTGCGGTTGGGCGTACACACCATTAAGAAAAATTGTTACGACAATGTAGAGTAGATGCGTGCTCAACAAAGTTCATGAAGGATATCATAACACGTTTTGATATGACAACAAATCCTACATGCGAGTGTATATCTAAGGAATGTATAAAATACCTGTTGACGTGAAAAGGAAATAGAAGCCTTAATCAGGAAATGCATATATAACATTTCAAATCCTACACAAATCTTCTGCGAATCATTATTCACAGTAAATCCAGGATTTATTGCGAACTAAAACATTATGAAAAGCTGCGTTTAATAACTTCGCTTATGACATTCGCTCGCAAATATGAATTTTGATACGACTGTTTGATTAAATTGATAGATATAGAAGTATTTATATATGGAGTAATTAATTTTACCCATTTCAGATTGGGATAAATTTGTTTCACAAACATTCGCCTTTTAAGTACACTGACAACAGATGAAATGAGATTTGTTTATTCGGATGGTACCATTTCAAATCCCAATTCAGTCTGGTTAATTAAATAAAGAATTATACGAATCTTATACCCTCTGAGAATATAAAAAATCTACACCCAGTGACACCCATACATTTTATTGCAAAGAAAACACAGAGAACTTGTCAAAGGCAAAAATGGAATTCAATGCGCCCAAAAAGAGCCCGGTTCACTTCCTACTGAAAATTCCGCAAATAATTTTGACTACGCGTAGAAACGTGGAATCGACTAAAATGTGCACACCTAGAATATGTTTCCGCAGCTGTTTATATTACAGTTCTTAAAACTCGATACATTTACGTTACTTCTTTATACATAAAAAATGTTATTAAACCCGGCGATATCTGGCACAAATACCAGTATGGGTGGCATAACGCAACATTTCCTACATTGTACGACGTGTGCAATTTGACAAGTAATATCCGCGAGTCATTGCTTCTGAAGAACAAATCACGTCACCGTTATGGTACTTCGAGCCGGATTTGTTATCGACAATATATCAATCAAGCCAAGTCAATTTTTGAAACCGAATATTTCAAGGTAGTCGCGGCAGTGCAAACCCTTATCCACGATCAAAAAGCAGATCTAGCGCCAAACACCATAAATTAGTCCAGACAAATTAGCTTTAAAAGTAGTATAAACTGGATGTTGTCATTTCACTCAAAGAAACCCGGTGTATTCAATGTAAAAAAATCCGCCGAATCGGAAAATCATAGTCCTCCTGGCCGGAAACCCGCGGAACATACTTCGAATGTCTCGTTAAGTACTCCTCTGAGGGAAAGAATGAATAGAAATGAACTTGTTTAGAATAAAATTTTCTATAAGATACACTTGGTCCGGAACGCTAATTTTCAATTGTTATTGTTTTTTATGGAAAAATGTGAAAAATTAATCTCTAAAATTAACAGTTTGTTATTACCAAGTAAAATTCATCCGATCTTTTTGAAAATCCGTATTTAGTAACTTCTTTTGATAACAAAACAACATGACCAACCAGATCATCGTAGGTTTCATAGTAATTGATTAATTAAATCAACAAGTAAAAAAAGGAATGCTTTGTCTTTCAAACTGGGGGACTACAAGAGCGTTCCCAATTTTTGTATACATTGTTTAACCCTAAAACAATCTTTTCCAATAATTGTCTCAGTAGGAGGATATAGTTGCGTTATTCTTCTTCATTGTAAGTACGCCATTTGATTTAATCTCCTGGACGTATATCTTCTTTAGGTTCCGGCTGATATTTAATACGATTTTCCGTCGACGATTCTTGCACGTTCATCTACGAGGCCTATCCACAAATTGTAAGTCGTTTTTGAATAGCGCAGTAGTAGGTGGGGCTACAGTCGCCATCTTAGTGTCAAAACATTCCTACCTTCAATGCGCATCGAACTGTAGCAGCGGACAGTCTGTATCTCTTCTGATTTTCTCACTGTGATTTATTAAAATGTGCTCTGCAATTCAAAATTCTGCCGCTTGTGAAGTACGTTCAGTTACAAATAAGATTTTTGTTGGTAAAACAACACAAACCAATTGAAATCCATCGTCAACTGTGTAAAGTTTATGGCAGCGGTATAATGAGTGAAAGCAGTGTACACAGTAAAAAATGTATTTCCACTTTTAACAAAATGTTAATACACATTAAATTTAGTCAATACTAACTTTTTATTTCTGTTAACTTGGCATCTTCCTTGCAGGCATCGACGAAAATACGCTTAATGTCGATTTCGCAAAATAAAGTTGGAAACCAAACAAATATTCAGCTTCAATTTTGACAAAAGATCTTATTGTTGCCTTTTAGTAAATGTCGACGTTGTTTTGCCTTTCTACTTTTGTCAATTGCACATAACAATCCAGTAACAAGTAATTCAAAAATTAGTCAAAATTCACAAGATATTGTAGTTGAAGTAACAAAATTAAGAAAAGAGTTGCTAATTTAATATTATGCTTTAGTGTGCGTAAACATAATCAAATTGTTGTTCATACTAAATGTTTGTTTTGTTCTGAACTGCTTATTCGTACTTTTCATTTTAATTCATTCAGTCAGTCCCTGTCGAAGATTGTGTCCTTTCGCCTTTGTGTGTTTTGTTTATTCGAAATATCAATATGGTAAGTATACCTACTTTCTCAATTTCGGCATTTCGAGAGAAAAATGATGGCTTATAGTCTTTTTTTTCTAGCATACAGAATATTCCTAGAAATTGTTGGAAGAGATAGAATTTGAAGACGTCGAACGAGCACCAATTCGTCCCGAGTTTCTAGAAACATTTTTTGGTATTTCCTCCGTTAGGGTTATCTTAAACATAGTATTCAGCCAAACCTAATATTTTCTTAGTTTAGGTATCTTGGTAAATTCTAAATATCAGTTTCATGTCATGATGTACCTATAAAATTACTATTAGGGAAATAAAACTACAATTAAAACGCCGTATTTTCTATTCTATACCTGGCCAAAAATCTCCTAAATTAAAACACAAACTTGTTACTAAAGGAGTGTCAATCGAACTAAACATTTGTGCAAAAAAACACCCTAGTGTTGTAAATTGTAACAACTGAAAGATAGTGAAATTGTACAAAGAAGTGGTGCAATAGTTGACATCATTCTTGTGTTGGGCACGAAGTGCTTATAAAATTAACAGTTTGAAATACTGGGGTAGCATTTGCAGGCTGTTAAAATGACTACAAAATAAGTTTGCTGCTAAACAAACTCATTGACAAGTTAACAAAATCATTATGGCTTATTTAACAATAATATAAGATAACGCAAACACCAATATTGTAGTACAATTTGACGTTAAAGCAAATCTAAATTCTACTGCAAATACGAGTGGACCTGCCGGGACTATAATTTTTAGTTCCTCCAACAACTAATTTTTTTACGGTGTATTGACTTTAAAAATGGCCGTAACAATGTTCATGACCATAGCCGTAGCCTTGTGACTGAAGAATTGATGTTGAAAATCAATGACAAAATTTTTCACGGTTATTGGACTTGGATACCATAAATTTAGTGCCAGGTGTATTTCAAAAATCCTTACGGAAGATCACACAAAGGCTAACTTTCCTTGAAGCTTACAATAAACATGGTAACGAACTTCAGGCATTGTTCAGTTCATTGCATTCCGAGTTTTGCGGCTTGGGAATTTTCTTTTGTTGCAGATTTTGTGGATCAGGGAATTGAGCTCACTTCTCTGGATAACATCTTATTAAATCAAGGTAAGTGTTGGCTTTTTGTTTTGCTTGTACTTGGCGCATTTGTGTTCGGATCAATTTCTTTGTGGAAACTTGTGTTAAGATCACATACTCAATTTAACCGATCATTCTCGATTAAAGCTTTGTAAAACTGGCATCTGTCAATTCTAAAGTCAAGTTACTAAGATTTTTGTGTGTTACGTAACTTATAGTTCAACATTTTTGTGTACGCTATACCATCCTGGAGTTTGATTTGATATACATCAATAAACCAGTATATGTTTTGGTACGTAAATTGGGTTGTACTCTTTTTTATCCCCCGTATCTTATCAATTTTATACGGGAGAGGTAAGCTAGTGGCGCTCAACCTTGGCCTTGGCAAGTGTAACGAACATTCCGAAGATCATTTTACCCAGAACGAACTACCGCTCTAGAAGATTCTCAAGCTCTTATTTTGTGTTTTACCCTGAGCTAGTTGACCGTTTATGCGGCGAGTTTGAGAAATTGCAGTGCCAACTCTATCTACCCGTTATAATTAACTACTGAAATTAAATTAACGACGAAATTTACATCACCCCAAAAATAACAGCGGAATAGATTAAAGTCTGTGCACTATCAGTGAATAGGTAGATATTTTCGAATTTTGTTTTCGTCAAATCAATAACCTAGATCTACCGAATGGATGACTTTGTATACGATAAAACTTGCTTCTTAACATTACTGCATTTCTTATATGGTTTATTTATTGACACAAAATGAAAATCGCTACAGGACAATCGACCCAATTAATCTTTTACGCTTCCTCTCATATTCCGAATTAATTTTCCTGTAATCATCAACCTAAATAAAAGGGACGGACATGGGTTTCTCAATTGTACTCACAAAACGTTTAACAGATCGCATAGTTTCAACCGGTAGCATCATTTTGAATAAAAATATTGTAAATCTTAAAATATCGTGTTCTACAAAAGCCGACTACATATGATTTTCTAGCTCGTGTAGCATATATCCAATGGCATTTTCGCAACTGTTATGCTTTGACTTGAGCTTTTCAATTTTATTCCGGAAGATACTATAGAAATGGAATTTTAAATTTTTATAATACAACATGCTAGATATTTCACTAAAAGTAACAAAGTTGCATAAAGGCAAGCTAGACTTTGCGAGCGCATATGCATAGAAGGAAATCGGGAGTTACTAATACCCCATTCTAAATTTTCAGCGGCAGTGTTGTAAATGTGAGATTGTTGTGTTAGTTTCACTTTCCAATTCACTGCAAACTAGGTACTTACAAAATACGTTTAGCTTGATTGTTGTCTCTTCAACACCACCTTGTACTAATTGATTCGTCGCCCTACACGTTAATGCCTTTCCATTGTCTAACCTCGTCGGCGTGAACGTAAGAAGAGACGTGCTCATGTTTCCATCAGCCGAATTCTACAACAAAAGCAACAGTCAGTCATGTATGTACGTTTCAAGTCAACTATAAAACAATTTATTAGTAACTTTTATTCATGCTCCACCTGCCTCAACCATTAGGGAAAATCTGTTAGTTGAATATGGTCTCGCTAGCTAATTATCTGCACTAATCGCTAGGGTATTGATCCCCTATTACCATGGTTTGTCAGCTTACCAACCTTCTCTATTGCTAAATGTAATGAAACTCACATAAAAGTGGTCCTTAACACTACACACAATAACTAACGCTTGAATTGGTTAGTGATTTATGGGGCATACATTTCATTTTAAAGGTATATGATACTAAATACACAGCATGTTACGAGAACGTATGTAAAAACGTAGACTGTGGATACTGTACTTGTTAAGATTCTGACAAAATCGAGGTGAAATCTCATCGTTTTCAACAACACTTTCCCATGTTAATCACACCATTGAATTTGTAACTAGCAGAAATGTGGGTTATATGGTAAGAAATGTGACGGTTTGAGTAATTCAATATTTCACCTTCCTTGGCTTGTGCCGTAGAGAAATCCACTACCTAGATTCGCAATTTTTTGAATACAGAATTCTAGAAACTTAAAAGAAACGTTTGTTTCATTTAGCACACAAGATTATACTCCCTTTCATGGCCCACTCAACATTCCTTAACCCGTGCCCGAGCTTTCGAAAGCTGATATCTGCCTTTACTAAATTAAATTACGTAGGTGTATTACGAGTGGTGCGTCATATAATTTTATTGAAAATGCAGATATTTTGTGCAAGTTTTTTGACATTTTCAAATTCGAAGTACTGGAGTTTTGGATAGAATAGGTAACTATATAATTACCACGGAATGGTAAAGGTTTATCTACCTTTAAATAACATTAAAAATGACTCACAAAATAATATTTATTTCACTTCAGTGAATTGGAATAGCATGAAGATGTAAGAGAAGCCCCTTCTCCGGTTGGTGTAAAAGGCGATTGATACGAAATAGGCAGCCTTAGTAGACCAAGAGCTGGCAGTAAAAATTACCACCTCATCGGTTACCCAAGGTGTGCCTCTTTAGGGTGGTTGAACTATTCACCAGCTATGGTAAACCGTCCGCATGCCTCTCGGATATGGTCATGTTACGTAGTGATTTTAATTTAATTTTGACTAATTTTTGCCTCATTTTTACCAATTTAAAACGCGTGCGAAAATGAGTGAAAATATAAGCTGAATATATGTTCAAAGCGTCTGCCATGTCTTGTGGTCACCTCTTTGAAGCAGACGGCCGTGAACATGTCAAAAAAACACCCATCAACTCCCCATTAGTTACCAGTATCATTTTTTTGCTGAAATGTAGTTCTTGATGCCCTTATTTAATCTGTAAGAACCATTTATTGGCAGACGGTCGCATTCGATGAGCACATCAGTTGAAATTTTAAATTATTTGCGCGTATTAATACTAAACGGTCCTGCGTTCCGAACACCAACAGTGTTTTGAATTAAATTATTGAAAATATAACTGGTATACTGTTTCTCTTTGTTTTAATCCAACAGGGGATGTTATTAGGTCTCATAGGCATAGGCATAAACAGAATAGAGAAGTCAAAGTTATTTCAGTTGTTAGAAAACCGAGCTGCAGATGCGGTGGGCCCCGATGACGTAGATTGTAGTATGTTTGATGGCTTTTACTTTTTACATCTGTTTGGTGATGTTCCAACAACACCTGGTAAATTGGCTATTACTGTTTTAAAAAAGCTATTGTTACGTCCCTGGAAAAATCCTTAATTTTCCTTAATACCGACCTGTAATGCTTTACTTTCCTATATTAAACCGCGCTTCGCGCAAACGCAATCGTAAGAATTTTGGGAACATCAAGTTACCATGGAAAACAGAAAAATCGAGTGGTTGTTGCTGTCTTGTTCTTCCCGCTGTGACACCGCCAAGAAACGCCTTCTAACTTCACCACCTGGCCGGCCAGAGAACCTTTATCGTCGATTGTCGTCACCGCCAAACGGAAGCTGTTTTGTTGCGAGGGTGGCAAGATTATTCCCGCAACTGGAAGCTGTCTTCCTTATTACCATCGTTTCATCAGCTACGGCATCGTCCAATTGTATAGTCTCATAGTTGCGAGGGTGGCAAGATTATCCCCGCAACTTAATCCAGAAAGAAGGAAGGAGAAGAAAATTACCCTTTGGCACAAGATTGTTTCCCGCATACTGAACTTGCACTTTTCACATACCCTTTTAGTTATTTCATTAGTTAACTCTTTGCTGCACGGAAATTTGAGTAAGGAAACACCTTAGTTGCACGAGAAAAATTTTGTTTAAATTTAAACATTTAAAAATATGTTTCTGGGATCAAAACGTTAGTAAAATTAGAAAAAAAATTAAAATTGTTAAAGTTTTAATTTATAAACAATTAAAAGGAGGTGGTACTGGGGTTGATACCACCATGTAGCATCGTGAAAGAAAAGTGGTTTCACATATTATTATTATTATTAGGCTTAGCTGCCAAATAGGAATATCTCAAGTACGGGCGGTAGGTAAAAAAAGCTAATAAGAATTTTTTTATTTATTTCTTATGAAATGGAATAAAACAATTTTTGTCGTCTTTCAAACATAGTGGGACTTTGCACATTGTGCACATCCATTTGGTCCGAACTTGTTTACTTTTTGTGCTGCAGTGCCCGCATCGTCTTCTGCTCGACCTAATGGGCAAATGTGCTGCTTCCCTTTGGCGAATGTTGTCAGGAACATATGGCTTGTGTTCCCTTATAGCAGCGACAACAGGATTACTTCTTCTTTTCTTAGTGTTGGTATGGGTCAATGTTTCACAAACAAGATGTTCCACCACTTTGCGCCTGAAATTCTTCAGAGTCATTTTCGGTAAACCCAGCTTTTCATAAATAATGTAACTGTTCACAATACAAGCGTCAACAAAGTAAAAGAAAATTCGATGCCACCATTTTCGGCTTTTCCTATCAATTTCGTAGGAGGATTTTTTCTGGTCAAATTTGTCAACAGCGTTCATGTGTGCGTTGTAGTCGGTCAACATAATTGGACAGGGCACGTCTTCAATAGACCCATTTCTGGCTTTACGCTTAACAGTGGTAGTATCTTGAGGATTGTGGAAATTTGAAATCAAAAAAACTGCCCTTTTGTCTTTCCATTTTGTGGTAGCAATTCCTTTGTTGTTAACAAAATAATCATAGTCACCTCTTTTCAGCTGTTTATCGGAACTAAAAGTTGGCAAATGTTTCCGGTTTTTGTTTATAGTACCGCAAGCATTAATTTTTTTATCTTTTAGATCATGCAACAAATTGACAGAACTAAAATAATTATCAAAGTAGATTCTATGTCCCTTATTCTCTAAACCAGAGCATAAATCTTTCACGACGCGTGGTCCTAAAGCCTTCTCTACATTGTTGTCTTGTTTTCCAGTGTAGATCTGAAACTTACTCAAATATCCTGAACCATCCGCCAAACACCAAACCTTGAAACCTCTCTTTATAGGTTTTTTGGGGAGGTACTGTTTAAGGGAACTTCGTCCTTTAAACTTAATCATGGATTCGTCGATTGCACCACATTCGGTTAGTGAAAAGCATGCTTCAAACTTTTGCTGCATAACATCTAAAAAAGGCCGCAATTTGAATAATTTATCAAAACCTGGTTGACCTTTCTTTGGCATAACTTCATTGTCATTGAGATGCAAGTTACCAAGTATCCAACTAAATCTGTTTACATTCATTAGTTGACTTATATATGGGTCATGAAGATCAGGGGATGAAGACCAATGATCTCGGTAACTCGGGAGAACTTTAATTCCCATTAATATGTTTATGCCCAGAAATGCCATAAATTCACACTTTGTAGTTGGGGTGATAGAAGTTGACTTTGACTTTTGGAGGTTTGTTTGGTTGGCATAAAGGTTTGTCTGAAAGACGATATGTTCCACAAGGCCATCGTCAAAGAAGACTTGGAAAAGTTTCCCAGGAGTTGGATTATTTAAGTTTTTAATAAAATCGGCAACTCCACTATCTTGAACAAACGGAAAACATTGATTTGAGGCTTGTGTCTTGTTCCAGATAAATGTCTCTGGTGCAGGTTTGGCCGTCGAGGTAGATGGGGTGTCATTAGTCCGAGCATTAGCCCTTCTAGACTGTAATTGAGCAAGCGGTATATCAAACTCAGACTCATCAGATTCACTTTCTACGACCTGTAAATTAATTTTAGTATGCAATAAAAATTTAATTTTTATTATTAGGTACTTGAATGTCAATTATTTCATCCACTTCATCTTCACGATCGCTGCTTTCAACGCAAAAATCAGGTGCAAAAGATTCTGCATCACTGGGAATATCTGCATAAATATCCTCTCCGTATATCTCTTCGCATAATTCTTCCTCCGCCATGTCAACAAGCTTAAAAGGCAGTGGGTCCGCTTTGCGTTTACTGATAATGGTCTAAATGATTGAGAGAAGTAGTCATAATAGCAGTGATAATAGAAATAAATGGTGAGCCACTAAACTATGAAAAAAGTTTATAATTTTTTGCTAGTTGCATGGTGGTACAAAGCAAGGACACCAAAAAACTAACAATTTTTGTAAAGTGAATCTACTGAAAATCATAAACTAGTACATGCAACAATACTTACGATTGACAAGCTGTAATATAATTCGGTAATCACCACGAAAATACTATTTTTCTACAACTGTCAAAAAAACCTATCATTTTCTGACGGATTTCGAAACGCAAAGTACTAGATTTTTAATCGGTTAATTAATAAGTAAGGTTGCTCTTGACAACGTGCGCGAAATCGTCAACAGTGAAAAAAAGTATTTCGCGCACGGGACAAAGTTGAACTTAAACGGCAATTTAATTAACAATCGGTTCAGTTGTAGAAAAAATATTGTATTTAACGCTAGCGCGAAGTTATTTCGCGCATTTGACTGATATTTTAACTCGGCTTCGCCTCGTCAAAATACCTTCAGTCTCAATGCGCGAAATTGAACTTCGCGCTCTTGTTATATAAATAACTATTTTACACAAAATTAAAACCAAAACAGTGCCACTAATCTGAAAGTTTTACGCGCGAAACAAAAGCGCGGCTAACTTGATTTTTTTTCTGCGAGGGCGCGGCGACACCTATAATATGATATGCACACTCACAACAGGGATCTATAACCGCTGTGGTACGATAGTAGCACCATTATACAACGCAGTAAAAAATAATAACCAAGTGGTACGATGCGTGTACCACCATACCCAAAAGACCCACAATTAGGTGGTACATCGGGCAACCATCAAGCTGGAAAGAGTTAACCGACCGGCTGCCAACAACATTAATATTGATTTGTATTTACAATTATTGATTTATTTAATTTTGTATTGCGATAGGGAGTAAAGCTTTTATCTATACTTCTCTGTTTATTTACCCCAAAAGACCAACCCTTTGTACGCTACAGTGACATCCCCACCTTCTTGTGTCCTTCAAGACCTTCTAAGATATGAGCAATCGCTGCATATGCAGCTTGTATAGTAGAGCGTCCTTTCCTAAATCCAAATTGATTGTTACAGAAAACATTCGTTCTCTCCAAAAACTTCATTAGCCTCTCTTTCAGCAGACTTTCAAAAATTTTTGAAATCGTAATAATCAGTGCTGTTAGATCTCTTAAGATTCTTTATTGTTATTAAGAATTCGTCCTCATCAATGTGTGTCATCACAAACGACGAATTTGCCATGCCAATTCTAGTCAAAAGTTCCTTTTGCTTCTCTTTGTCAATTGACCGAGAAGACGTAATTGAAGTAGCAACATTCAAGAAGAAAGCATTGAATTGTTCGGGTTGTAGCTTGGCCGAACTTACCTTTCGGTCTCCGCTGTTTCTTTAAAAATGTATGATTCTCGAAATATTTTTAGTTTTGTTTTCCGATTCTCGAACATCGAAAGAGACAGATGTGCTGGAAGATCACAAAGAAGCAACATTTTTACAATCAAAGGTGAAGAACAGAAAAGGCCAAACGACTTCTTGAAAGCATTACGAAATGATTCCTTTAAAGTAGAGTTCGTAAAATTTCTGGGGAACTATTGGAATACACATAATGCCATAGGAATTTTGGGTGACAAAGTTGTACGAATAAATGTTTTGTGAAAAGGATGGTGTGATAAAGCGTGAAGAGGACCACGAACTTTTTGCGATCACCATCAAGAAGCTGATACGAGAATTATTATGACGTTCCAAAATTGCCCCAAACTTTCAAAAATGTTGTTATTCGTGCTTCTGACACCGACATTTTAATTGTAGCTTTAGGAAATACGCATTTATTCATTGAAAAAAAGGTTTCAATGTGGATCGAAACAGCTAGGATTAATATCGAAAAATACTCTGCGGTATGTAAATGTAAATGCAATTTACCGGGCTTTAGGCGAACATCTATCGAGACCATTACACGGAATCACAAGCGTAAATGAAGCTCGATTTGACATTTTTGTTAAAAATTATGGCATTTCTAAATCCCCCAATGTGAAACCTCTAGATAAAGTTAAAAATTGTGATGCCAGCCTTTTACCACCATGCCAGAGTTCGTTATTGTGCAAAATAAGGCATGTTAATCAGATCTATGCAATTTGGAATTTTGCTAAGGATCCGACAGCAAAATTTTTTAAACCAGAAGAAAGCGGATGGATCTTACATGAGGATAAATATGATCTTCAATGGTTTGTTGGGCCACAAACACCTACCTCGCTACAAGAAATTTCACAAACCCCTGCAACATCAGAACCTGAAAGTGACAGCGAGTTTATTTCCTACGATCCGTCCAGTGACGAAGAAGACTGATCTTTGGTTTACACTGAAAGAAAAAACCGGTCAGGGGTACCCATTTTTATGGTAAAATAGGCGCCAACTTGTAAAATCTTAACAGCTACCACTACAGAATAATGGTAATAAGTTATTGGTACCAATGGTCATTACAGCGAAGTGATAATTACCGCTAATGATCTCATTGAATTTTACTACTACGTGTTGTTATTTGATAACCGCTTTCTTAAAACTAATGTTTATCACTCTAGACAACGGTAAATCGTACGCTAGTATACTTTAAAAAAGAAAAGAATTAGGCGCCCTTCAGAAGAAATTGCATTCGCTTAGCATTTTTCCAGTAAAAACTGAAAGTAGTTCTTGGAGATTCCAATCCTTTAGCAACTCTTCCGCACATTTTTTTTGAAAACGATTATGAAAGGTACCCTGTAACCATTTTTATTGATTTCATGATGGTAGCTCAAGGTCCGCATAAAGCTATACACCCCCAGCACGTTTTGATAGTGATACTTCATCACCGCATATCAATAATAATTCAAGCCCGCTAGCGTCATCTCATGTCTGGTCATTCAATCATGGAAGCAGCCGGTTAAGGACATCATCTCGTCAGCAGTTACCTCTATCGCCACTTGAATTGCCCTCAATAGTATTGTAACGTGATTTATAAATTCGTGTTCGATTTATATCAATATTTATTAAACAAAACTAAAACACTATAAAAACCGTACAATTTATATCGATTATTTATATCACACACTTCGCAATTTATATTTCCGCGCTCGATGTTTCATACGTACTCGATCTCGTTCGGTAGTAGACTGCTTGCGATGTTCGGTCCACAACCATTTATACACGCAAGCAATGTAAGTCAAGAACACTCGCGTAATTTACCAGATAAGTCTGGAATATTCCTATACATATCCCACTATCGCGCGCGTAGAAAATTCCAGAGCGCCAAAGGCGACGTCATGTCTGGAGCGTTTCCGTTACAGTATGTTCACATGACAAAATGTAAAAGCTCACTTGAATATTTTAGACTTTTTGGCGAAGGTACCCATAGTCTCCTCGTTGCGTTCATTTAAGCGATCAAGAATATAGTAAGGTTGAAGAAAAGCGCACCCATAGGAGGATATGGAAGTTTTTTCCACCCTCCTGCCGATTTTACTCATTTCGAGTCACACCAATAGAACAGTAGATTCAACAAACAAAAAGAATATAATTGGGAGTTCCTTTGATATTGAGATGCCTTCGTGGTAATCTCTCATTGTTATTGCCTAGAAAAAATGTATTGTCAATGAAAGCGTGACACTTATAACGGACTTGTCCAATTTAAGGGACAGATACTCTTCCATTTTGTTTACGCTAAATCTGCATTTTTCTGCGACGTCTCGTTAGAAAAAGCACCCAATCTGCCATGAAAGGTATTAAAATTTGCATATTCATAAAAGAGTTAATCGTTATTCAATACAATGTTAACAACGTTAAGTCCAGGTGTGTTGAAGTGTGGTAAGTTTTCGAATATTTAATAGGTTTCATCCAACCATGTTATAGCGTTCATAAAAAAATGCTCGTCTTATTCTTAGCAGACATAAATTTTATGTGTCTTTTTTATTAACTTCTAAATTTTTGGAGTATTAGAATACGAAATTAATTACCGTTTGAGTGTGGTTGAACGTGTACGATTTCAGTTCTTTGTTTTCCATCCACCACGAAATTTTAGCTGGAGGTCGAGATCCATAGGTTTGGCAAGGTATCTCGTACTTTCTATCCGCAGAAAAAGGCTGGTTGCTGCTCAATATTTCCACTATCAAAGGTCGAACTGTAACAAAAAGACACTCTTAGTTTTCAAAGGAAACTATCATTTACAAATATCGACGTATAATTTTAATTAAAGCAGGGCGAGTGTTTCAAAACTTCTATACAACTTGGTGGAAAATAACAACTCTCGTACTAAATTAAAGCTTTAATTAAAAATAAACTAATAAATTTCAGAAATAAATTAATTCTTGCAAAGTTTAATTTAAACCGGCAAAAGTAATGTATTGCTAAAAATTGAAGAGAAATACAACGGTATGTAAATACAACTTTCGAATTTCAACGCAAACAATGTTATAAATATAACATAATTACTGCAGCTACGAAACACATTTTTAAATAGAGTTTTCCTAATATGATTAATTACCTGAAATCTGCTTGTTCCAACTTCATAATTGCGTTAACAATAAATCACTGTAATTCTGGAGTTTGCAATAAAAACACAAAAATTTATGATTTATTTGTGAAGGTATTTTCATTAGAAAATCGCATTTCGCATAAATAACGCCGCCTTAAAATAATTTCCCTTATTGTATAAATAATGAACCAACAGGTACTCGTAAACGAATTCGCGTTATTCTAAAACCGAAACGAATATTGAGCGATTGAATAAGATATTAGGAAGATGCGAAGGGTGTAAATCAAATTAGCTAAGCCACTGTGCATCTAAAGGGATAAAACCGTTTACAAAGGTCAAATTTATTGTGTTCCATTCGCTTTACGAAAATCTATACGTGACATATCCACGCGTCAGCGACACGTCTATACCTTCAATAATTTTCGACAAATCTTGCTTGATCTCAACGTGAGATTCATTTCCTGGTTCAATTACATGCGTCACACCAGCTTTTATATAAATTGGCTTGTGATGGTAGAATTTGTTTGAAGGCAACTTGGAGGAAGCAACTAAAATGAACTTGTACAAACCAGTATTGTTTGGTGCGGTCTACAGCTCAGCATGCTACGATCAGTTTAATCAAACAATAACTTTCGAAGTTAATTTATGAACTTCTTTATAATCGGTAGCGAATTGTTATGGATGGAGGTGAGCCATTTGGTTGCGGTTTCCTCCTGTACTAAAACATGTACTCCTTTCTAAATACACAATTTTTTAAAACAGTAGTTTTCACTCAAATTTGTTAGTAAGTAATGTAGTTGGAAGTTTGTTGTAGGATACAGGTAAATGTAAATAATAATTTTAAAAAATTACAAAACTTCACCCACATGGTGCTAAAATGTATGACGAGACACACAGGTACAATTAATATTCGTTGAACACGGACAGCAAAATATTGAAGTGCGCTAAGCTAAGCGTTAAGACGTGTTATTGTTGCTCTCGTTTTGGGCCCTGTTGCTCAAAGTAAATAATCGTTTCTAATTGTTGTGTTAACTACCATAAATAACATAAACTAGTATTATGCCTACTGGCAGTAAGTGTTTTGTTTGCAATCAAACTGTTAACCCGGATAAAGAGATCACATGTGATGAATGCAGACTGATAGTTCATTCCGTTTGTTCCGGTTTATCGCGCAATGAAGTGCTGTGTTTATCAAGTAAAGATAGGAACATCACCTATCAATGTCCAAAATGTAAAGCTCAACGTCAAGAAATTCGCGAACTGAAAGAGCTAATCACCGACCTTAAACTTGAGATAGAGTCCTTAAAGCAACGCGATTCCAAAAATAACGCGCAAATCTCGGCCGAAGAAATTATCCAGGAAACTTTTGAGCGTCAACGTCGATCATTCAATTTAATCATATATAACATCGACGAAAGTGTTTCTGAAGATAGGGATACGCGTATCACCAATGATTTGGATGCCGCTAAATCAATTATTTCTAAAACTTCTAATGTGTCTACTACTGATATCCGCGCGATCAGATTGGGAAAACGTCCTGTCGATGGTAAGAAACGTCCGTTAAAGGTTATCCTAAAGAATCCTGCTGATGTAATTGAGGTACTACGTAACAAATCTAAACTGGGATCGTTCAATTCGTCTGCTATCTCCATAAGTGCAGACCAAACTCCTCGCCAAAGGGAATTTTTGAGAAATCTTCGAGATGAGCTGCAAGGTAGAATCAACAAAGGGGAGAAAGATATTACAATTCGTTATGTGAACGGTGTACCGAAAATTGTTCGTGTAACAAAAAACTAAACCGTAGTTCTCCTGTTACGTGTCACTTCCAGAACGTCCGTGGGTTAAGAACCAAGTTGTCTAATTTTTATAACTTTCTAGCCGAACGCGAATTTGACTTTATCGGTGTCGTAGAAACTGCTCTATCCCATGACATTTCGAATTCTGAATTTGCACCGGATTGTTATAAGGTCTTTAGATGTGATCGCCAATTTGAAGTCACAAATAAAAAGTGGGGTGGTGGAACATTATTAGCTGTAAAAGAGAACATACATTGTAGATCAATTGATGTCAATGTTATTGTTAACACGTTACCTTCAATAGACATTGTAGGGTGTAAATGTAATTTTAGTACCCTAAGCTTGAGTATATTTGTCATCTACATACCACCTGATACTCGTAGTAGCGACTATAAGTTGTTTTTTGAGCTGTTCCAGCAGTACTGCTGCACACACGAGCACCTACTCATTTTGGGTGACTTCAACATACCCCAGTTTTGTAACCATGATATTTGTGATGTTAAATTTAACATAATTAACAATTACATGAATCTTTCAAATTTACATCAATTTAACGATATCAACAATCATTATAACAGGCTTTTAGATCTTGTAATTAGTAATCTAAGTTGTATAGTAATTAGAGATAGTAGTCCTTATATATCTGAAGATCTGCATCACCCTCCCTTAATTATCATGCCACATGTTGATCGTGCTTCCACGTTCTCAATTGCTTCCGATAGTGAATCTTATAACTTTTTCAAAGCTGATTTTCAAGGACTGTTCACTTCTTTATCTAATATCGACTGGACATTCCTTCGAAATTATGAAAATGTAGATATTGCATGCTCAGATTTTTATTGTCTGTTCTATGAGTTATGCGACAAGTTTGTTCCACGTACACGACATAAAGGCAAGCGGTTTTTCCCTAAATGGTTCACCCCAACGATCAAGAAAAATATCAAATTAAAATATATACTACTTAAAGAATATAGAAGAAACAACTCCATTATAGCACTGAACCATTATAAAACTTTGCGCAAATTAATTAAATCCCAAATTCGTCTAGCACACAAAGAGTATATAGATAATATTGAAACGTCTCTAGCCATTGACCCAAAACAATTGTGGTCTTTTGTAAAGACCAAAAATAATATTTCTAGGATCCCGGGTCAAATGAAACACGATGACGCACACTTTAACACGCCAAATGAAATCGTCAATGCTTTTATGTCTTATTTTACATCAGTCTACACCAGCTCTACTGGAATGTCTGGGGCAACAAACAACATTAACAACCTCCCGCCTATTCATTTACCCTACATTACCGATGCAATGGTGGCGACTGCTATTGATAGTTTAAAAAACAAACAAACTGCGGGTTTTGATAAAATACCTGTTTTTCTCCTAAAATTCTTAAAGAATATGCTAATATATCCCTTACGCGTCATATTTAATCTAGCACTCACTTCTTGTACATTTCCTACATATTGGAAGGTTGCCAAGATATGCCCTGTTCTCAAGTCAGGAGAAGCATCTGAAATTTCCAACTACCGTCCTATCAGTATCTTATCAAGTTTCTCAAAAGTGTTTGAGATAGTTATTTACAATTATATTTACCCCTCTGTTCGTAGCCTAATATCTCTACATCAACATGGCTTTATGCAAAAAAGATCAACGGTGACCAACTTGGCTTGTTTTACCGAGTATTGTACGCACGCTTTGGACGAATCTCAACAAGTTGACGTGATGTACGCAGATTTTTCTAAAGCGTTCGATACCATTGACCACCAAATAATAATTTACAAGTTGAAAAACTTTGGTTTTAACGATCATTTTCAAGCTTTCTTTAAGTCTTATCTAAAAGATCGCCGTCAGTTTGTGACGTATAATGGTTATAATTCCCATATGCTTCGAGCGAGTTCTGGTGTCCCTCAGGGGTCTAACCTTGGACCTCTGTTGTTCTTACTTTTTATAAATGACATATCCTCCGCTTTCTCTGTTAATCACCTCCTTTTCGCTGATGACCTTAAAATGTTCGTCAAAGTATCTTCAATAAAAGATTGTCTTGTAATGCAAGAAAACATAAATGCTCTAAGCAGATGGTGCCTACTAAATAAACTTAAATTAAATATTAACAAATGTAAAGTCTTAACGTTTTCAAGGAAACGCGAACCAATATGCTTCACGTACAATATTGATGGAATGATTTTAGACTGCGCGTCGCACATCAAGGATTTAGGTGTCATTTTTGATAATCAACTTAGTTTTAGATATCATATTCATTTCATCTGTTCATCTGCAATGCGTGTATTAGGTTTCATTATTAGAAATTGTAAATCCTTCACCAACGTTAACGCTCTGATTAGGTTATACTGTGCCCTTGTTCGCTCTAAACTTGAATATTGTGATCTTATATGGTATCCCGTTTATGAAGTATACAAGAATGATCTTGAAAACGTTCAACGTAAATTTCTCAAATATCTCTCGTTCAAAATTGATGGTTATTATCCTCCTCAAGGTGTTCCTCAAAAAGCTCTTTTGGAACGTTTTAGGCTTGATTCTTTACAGCATAGACGGGTAGCTAATAGCGTCAAATTTTTATATAAGCTCCTTCATAACGATATTGATTGTCCGGACCTTTTATCTCAGATTAAATTCTTGGTCCCATCATATCGAACAAGATGTCCTCTCACTTTTGTTTACCCGACTCCCAATACTAACCTCCTTCGTAAAGCTCCATTCTTTACAATGGCTCTCAACTTCAATGCAATTGGTCATAGTTGTGATATTAACTTCAATTCTCTGGCGTACATTTTACGTTTAGTACAAACACATTGTAGTGAATAGTATTATTTAGTAACCTAGGAG